GAGACAGACTATGAGGTTACCAAATAAAATATAATTTCAATGTTATTAATGAAAGAATGTATTACATTCTTTTTTAATGAGATCCGGGTGTTGTAAAATGATTCCCTGTAATGAATCCCAGGAAATCAATGAGAAGCTTAATTACAGCTGCGGCAGTGCCGTGTGAGAGTATTGCTTTGGTCAGTTCTACTTGCACAATTTATCAATCCTCCACCCTTCCCTTTCTTTACCTTAATTGCTTTGATGCAGTAAGGATAAATACGCTCTTTGTTAGCTTTTGATCTTTCTTGGAAATGTTCTGCAAAATTACAGTTTCCTTGGCTTATAATAATCACCCCTATAATTTTGTAATGTACATTACCGTTCACAATTTGTACATTTTTAAATTAGGCAGTAATTTGGGGGGGGTTGTTTTTAATTTGTGATCATGTCTTACCTTTCGCCATGGTCAATTTTTTATAAATTACTTTCTATCTCTCAACTTACTAGCTGACTCCATTCGTTAAAATTTGATGTGCTTTGTATATTGTTCATCGCTCATTTAAGCCCTAAGGTGAATATAAAGAAAAAAATTATTGAGTTTCACTTTTCTGTAACTACATATTCTTTTTTATTTTAAACAAAGTGGAATTTTCTTTTTACAGCATTTTTATTTTGACAGCTTCATGATTATGGTGCTATCTTATCTACTAGGTGTAAATTGATTTTTCTTATTTGTTTATAAAACACTATATAAAATATAACTTGGATATTTAAAGGTATTCTTTATTTGGGTATTTAGAGGTTGTTCTTTATTTTGGTGACTAGCTTTTGCTAATTATACATTGAGAAAGGATTTTCTATGCTCTAAAAGGTGTTTATAAGTAGTCTACTTCTGATGTAAGGTTCAAGGCCTTAAAATAGTCATGAATTATTTTGACTGACTTATTCTGTAGATGAAAGCATTTTGAAAGGGAATGCCATGCAGCCCCTTTCCTCTCAGTCTCCCATTGACACCGTCAGACTCTCCTGGGGCATCATCCATCCGTACCGCGGAGGGGTGGCTGGGTGTTAAGACATTTCTTCCAACCCTGGCTTGTCCACACCCAGGGCAGCGTGTGCGCAGTGGCCAGAACTGCACAGACCCTAAGTCTCCTGGAGGCTGTGCAGTGGTGCAGAGGATGCCTGCAGCCCATCCCTGAGGCTTTGCGCGTTACCGTGTGATATCAGAACGGCGCTGTTTGACTCCCTAAAAGGACCTTTGTTTGCTCTCTTACAAAAGCTGTTTTCTTGGTGGTCACTACATTTGTGCAAGGCTGGCTGTTCCATGACAGGCTGTTCTTGTCCTGTCTCATCTGCATAAGATACCCTTTATATGCACTAACTGCTGTTCCCAAAGCGGGAATCGCTGTGGCTTTAATTTTGGGATAAGTCGTTAGAGAATTAGAGAGCTAAACGTTTCTTTAGAATGTTTCCTTTGAAATAGTGTTTAGTCTTGGATTGCTGCCCTGGTCCACGGGGTTTTGCTGCCGTTCTGCACAGAGGTGAGAGGGTTGTGTTGTGACTTGTAGTGCGGTGTGTGGGCCAGGCAGACTGTGCTCCGAGCGGAGAGGGGGACAGCCTGAGCAGCGGCTCTTCTGGGTGTGCCTCTGTGACTTACCGTAAGCCCCTGTTTGCCTTTAGCTGCTCCTCTTCTGCTTGTCTCCCCACCTTTTCTCTTTTTCTGGACCTTGTTCTTCACTCTACTCAAGTCCTCTTTTCTGGAGCCAACACTTCCCCAGGAGGCTCGGGTATACACCATGTGTAGGACCACCAAGGTCAAGGAATGACCTCTTTGCCAAATACACACTCTTTAGGAACTTCTGGTTTAGATTGGCGATCTCCACATAGGCATTTAAGTCACCTTAGCAAATCATATTGATCCCAATCAAATAAATAGAAATATGCAGAAGCCTGTGCCTGGCCTAGGTGTTAGGGACAAGGCGTGTCCAATGGAAGGACTAAAAGTTTCTGGATGTTGCTGATAAAATTGGACTAAAGGGCATGTGTAGTCATTAGAAGGGATGTCAGTTTCTCTCGCGTTTACATTTGCTTCTTGATGTCAGTGGTGGTGCCTTCCAGTCTGCCTCCAGTGGCCCTCACACGTTTGACACCCAGGACACCTCATTCTCCTGATCCTTTCTCCAAATATTCTTTGTCTGGGATTCTTTTATGCCCAAAGGTAAACTTCTGGTGTTTTTGATACACTCCTTTTCACTCTCTTTGCTGGCTGTTCTCTCGGGCTCAGCCATGGTCTGTGGGCTTAGGACCCAGAGGTTGTGCCTCCCACCTTCTCCATCTCTTTCCTGGGCTCCAAGGTAATGCTCTGTATGTTCCTACCTGGATGGCCCGCAGTTCCTCAAAGACAGCGCCTTTTCCTGAGCCCAGCCAGCTGGGTCACCTCCCCCCAGTTTCCTTATTTCTGTCAGTGTGGCCATTCTTCTTCATGCACCCAGGTGCAGCCCTTTACCTTTTATCCTTTTTTTTTTTTTTTTTAATAATAAATCTTTATTGTTCAGATTATTACAGGTGTTCCTCTTTCCTCCCTCTTCTCCCATAGCTCCCCTCCACCTAATCCTCAACTCCACCCCATGCCCTTACCCACCGCCTTTGTCTTCATCCATTGGTGTAAAAATTACCTTTATCCTTTTATGCCATTATTTTATCTTCCACCTTTCACAGTTAAGAAGTCCTAACAAAAACAAAAAGCAAAAAACAAAAAAAAGAAAAGTCCTAACAGTTGTCCCATCAAAATACCCTTTACATCTGTCTGGTTCCTATCCATACTACATTTATGCACAGTGGGTGAATGGCATAGACTGAGATTGATTCTCGGCATAACTGCCTGCTGTAAGTCCTGGTGCCATTGCTACCAGGCTAAACTTGCAGTTATGGGTCATTTTCTTGATTAGACGGTCTCTACTGCCAATCAAATGAAATACAAACTCCTCAACTTGGTATTCTGCAATCTGACAGCTGCCACCCTTCCTCCTCTTCCTCTGATAAATTCTACTCTGTACTTGGCCTAGTGGTAATCCTGAAAATATGGCAGAGAGCAGGTCAGGGTGCCCACCCTCCAGGGACTCATGTTCCATGCGGGACCACAGCATGATGAGTGCTGTGTGGGATGATGAAGGATGCTGTGAGGGAGGAGTCACTGAGAGGACCACTGCAAACATGAGGATCAGAGTTCTCTAAGGGGTAATATTTACAATGTGATCTGGAGGAGGTGAAGGAGCTGATGGTAAGAGAGGAAGGGGAGACAGAACTGCACAGACCCTAAGTCAAGAAGAAGCTTGGCTTAAAAACAGAAGATCCCTGTGAGGGGAGACTAGTCAGTGCGCTAGAGAGAGGTACCAGATGCACTTGTGTGGCTGGGGGAAGAGTTTGCATCTCATTCTAGGTGTAGTGTCAAAGGATTTTCCATGCAGCAGAGTGATATGACCTGTGTACATTTTAAAATGTCATTATATACTGTTGGAGCAAGGTGGAAGAAAGAGGAGAGCAATTAGGAACGAGGCCCTTCCAGTTGTCCGGGCAAGATAATAGCTTGGGCCAGATGACATGTTTCTCAGTGTCAGCATATGGCATTTGGGGCCAGAAAATGCTTTGTTTGGGGCTGTCTTATAGGATGTTTATAAGCTTCTCTGGCATCCACTCACTGGAGCTCAGCAGTATCCTCCCCTCCAGTGTGACAACCAGCTCTATCTCCAGGCATTGCTGACTGTCCCCATGGCAGCACCACCCCTGGCTGTGAACCCTGGGACGAGAGGATGGCAGCAGAGGTGTGTTTGACATGCACTGTGGAGGAGAACAGACAGTACTTTGCAGTGGATGGGATGGAGAGGATGGAGAGAAAGGAGAGATTCAAAAATGCTTCCTAGCTGTTTGGTTTGACAATCTAGACAGATATCACAGGTGCGTTAGCGTCTGACAGTGGTCGCTTGCCCCTGTGCTGGTTCTTGGAATTATCCAGCCACCTATAATGTAGCCCATTCCACTATTCTGTTTCTGCATCCCGCTGAAGGCCCCGCTTAAATGCCATCTTCTTGAAGTCTTCTCCAGTTAATTCACCAACGGTGGCCATTTTTTCAGTTTCTGTATCAGTACCAGACACTTCCTGGCCCTGAGCTTCTGTGAACCCCCAGGAGAGAAGGACCAGGGGCAGTCACCGGGGATGCTTGGATTGCAGGGCTTTGCTTCTGCATCTTGCCTCTTCCCTCTGTTTCTGTTGGTGGCTGTAGTCATTCTCTAGTCATCTTCTGGGCCCTGGGGCACTGTCTGTTACCTGCAAGCCCTTTGCTCAGGTGGAATTAAGACCCACCAAGCAGGGCCTACTTCTTTGCTGCCTTGTGTTATACAGTTACTACTTTATGTCTGTCATCTCCCTAACAAATAAGCTCTGAGTGCAGGAATGAGACCTCGTTCATTCCTTCATCCCACGCAATGCCTAATGCCCAGCATAGTACTGGTTGTGAAGTAGGTACTCAATAAATGTTCGTTGAGTGAATGAGAGTGATTCAATCTTAAAACATCCACATTGCCAAAACCGGTTTGGCTCAGTGGATAGAGCGTCGGCCTGCAGACTGAAAGGTCCCAGGTTTGATTCCGGTCAAGGGCATATACCTTGGTTTTGGGCTCGATCCCCAGGGAGGGGTATGCAGGAGGCAGCTGATCAATGTTTCTCTCTCATCGATGTTTCTAACTCTATCCCTTTCTCTTCCTCTCTGTAAAAAAAAATCAATAAAATATATTTAAAATAAATATAACATCCACCTTATTTTTTCCTCTCCTGTATAATGGAATTAAAGGAAAATGAGCATTTTTCTGTGATGAACACACATAATTTTTATAATGGGGGAAATGTTGGTTTTCAATGGGAGGTTAGCCTCGGTTGGGTTCCCTGGAGGATGGCTGGTCTGCCCTTTGCAGTGTGGGCCCTGTGTTGGTAACGAGATGCCTGCTCTGCTTCTGTGTTTCAGCTTTAGTTGTCAGCACCACTTCGGCGGGATTCGCATTGGCCCCGGGGCCCTTCGACTTGTCCTGTTTTCTGCTCACTTCCCTGGGAACAGGCCTGGCATCCTGTGCTGCCAACTCCATCAATCAGGTGGGTCTGTCGCCTTCCAGGTAGATCATGCTACCGTGACTCATTCCCAGCTTGTGGTATTATCACATTAAAAAAAAACTTCCAGAGTCACATGTGCATGAAGAGGTACTATGAACTTGTAAGAATGTATCCAAGGTGTCTTTTCTTTCGCTGTGAATGGTTTTCATTTAGGTTCTGGTGAGAAAACAATAGCATATCTGCTTCAAGTGACTGGCATGCCTTGTGTTAGAAAGTGCTTTAAAGCTGTCAAACTTCTCCATTCTTGTCCATTTCCGGTACATTTCCCTGAGCTCATCATTGTGTGCTAGTCTTTCTTTCGTTTGATTTTGCATTTTAAGTCTCTGGTATACAAAACAGAATGCATATCCAACTTTTAAAAAAATTAGTAACTCAGAATTCAGTAAACCTGGTGTATGGCATCAGATTATATCAAATTTAGAATGTTATTAGCTAATTGTACTTAATGTGTTCTTTAGCATATTATTTTCAATTAGCCTGTTATTTAATTAGCATCTTATGTTTAATGAATCCCCCTCCCCCCCCATTATTTAAACCATCAAAATAATTCTCTGAAATATTTTTTTCTCCGGTCTGGTCATTGTGGTGTGCTCCAACGCTGTGGCTTTTTCATAAGATACTATGTGAAAAAGCTTGGCAAAAACTTAGGGAAAGCTGCTTGCTTTTATCATAAGAACACCCAGGAGGAACTGGCACAGTTTTACAACAGGAACTCAAGTCAGCAGCAGGAAAACAGCTTGGCTGAGTGGATATATAAGTTGGTAGTCCACAAAATATGGGGGTTTTAGTGTTATAATGCCTAAACTCATTGTGTTTTTATAATGTATTATCAGTTACTTGGAGAAGTATGAATCTATTTCAAGTAAGATTTATTTTTATTGTTATTTTTAAAGTCAAAACAGTCTTATAGTGAGGTTCAAATAGCCCTCCCACTTTACAGCAGTATTGTCGATGCCTGTGGTCTGTGATGCCACCTCTTCCAAGTCGCTCCTTCCTTTTGCTGCCCTCCCCTATGTCTTGGCTAAGAGAATAATTATGGTTTCACAATGAACATGTTTTTAATGAAAGTTTGAGTGAAAAGCAATATAAGCAAAATGGATTTATATGGCTATTTTGAATCTTTTATGAAAATTTTTTAAATTTTTATTTTTGTTTAGTTATAAGTCTAGGCCATAAGATTCAGCCAGGAACTTAATCTCGTTCCCAGGCTTGTGTGTTAAATTGAAGGGCTGTATTTACCCTTGAGGTACTAACTGCTGTCACCTATTTGAATTACATGGATTTAAATGAAAGGTTTAAAATAAAATTGTGGGAATTCAGGAAAAACAAAACAGTAGCAACAACAAACTAATAAACATCAAATAATTAGTAGAAATGCCAGGATTTTATAAAAGACTAGAGGCCCCGTGCACAAATTTGTGCACCAGTGGTGTCCCTTTACCTGGCCTATGGGATCAGGTCAAAAGCTGCTCTCCAATATCCCCTGAGGGGTCCCGGATTGCGAGAGGATGCAGGCCAGGCCGAGTACACGGGTGCACGATCAGGGCCGGGGAGCAACCGTGGAGGACTCCAGGGCATGTCCAACCCGTTTCATTCAATGCCTATGGGCCAGACCCCAGCAGCAAGCTAACTTATTGGTCAGAGCATCTGCCCCCTGATAATCACTGCATGTCATAGCGACTGATTAACCAGTTTACTCTCTGCCCCCTGGTGGTCAGTGCACGTCATAGCAATTGGTTGCACGGCCTTAGCATATCATTAACATATTATGCTTTGATTGGTTGAATGGACAACCGACGCTGAGCATTTTAGGCTTTCATTATATAGGATAATACTGAGCCACTTTGAGTTGAAGCTACGACAACCCCAACATGCCACTGCCCTGAGAATGGTGGTTCAAAGAATTTGTCTTGGGGGGAAAAAAAATTAAAAAACCTGTCAGTTGTAGCAAGATATTATCTGGAGGAAAAAATTGAGTGGTTTACACTTAATTAGTAATTTACAGAAACTGAATATAGACTTAGGTTTTAGAAACTTGAAAAAGACTACAAGTTTAGGTGGCACTTTATCTCAGAGACTGTAGGAAGTTTATTCACAGTAGAAAGTGAGTGGGTCTGTGGGTTAAAACTGTTCCTGAGGAAAGCCTCAGAGTGCATGATGGGATTCCTCCCAGTGCTGAGGCTGCCTGCCTCGATGGCTGGCCAGCCCTGCCCTGCTGCTCACCTGGCACCTTCCCTGCTCTCCTTTGGACCACGTCCCTTGCTCCCTCCTCATGTCACTTACACCCACAGGCCTCTGCAGTGTCGGATGTGTTGTCACCTTAATGGATGCTTGTTGGGTACGTGAATAATGACTTCATCCTCTTGTATTCAGCATATTGCTTCCTTCCACTTTTCTTGGGCTCTCATTTCAGTCGGAAGCTTCACAGTAGTTTAAAAATGTTGCTGATTCCCATAACTGTACAGTTCTGTTGTTATTACATTATTGATCAGCTTCCCAAATTACAATCTTCTGTAAATAACATGTTGGAAATGTTTTAGTTCTAGTGTTGGTAGGCATTCTTATAAAATCAAGTTAAAGGAAGGCGAGTACATTTCATTAGTGCCTTTAATTATTAATAGTATAATGCTGGCCCACAAGGGTTTAGCTGAGTTTTTGAAAGCAGATACAGAAGTAGTCTTTGGGGAATTGGAGGCACTTACTACTTTTTTTTAGGGAGCTAGTGTTCACTCACTCCAAGAATGCATATATGTAGGGGTAGGTGTAAGAGTTCTTCAGCTTCTAGTAGAGATCCCTGGGAGAAAAAAATGCCTGCTGGCCATGTTTATAAAGGAATTCCAATCCAGTTCACATTTCAAAATACTTTTTTTTGGCTGTTATTAATTTAGTTCTGAGTGACTCTTCTTTGTACCCTACTTCTGTGATCTCTCTGTAAAAGTAGGAAAAATAAAGCCTTGGAAAATGATTCTTACATTTGTTTTAAGGAGAGAAAATGAGATTCAGCTTCTGATTTATGAAGTAGTGACTAGTGCATAAAGATATGTATATGAAACCACTAACATTAAACTGTAGGAAGGAATTACATGGTTTGTAAAATATACACATGCTTAATTTGACACTGTAGTGTGGCTTTAAAGCAGGTATGCCTTCAAAGGATGAAAGCCATCCGTAAAATGTTTTTAATTTAGCCACTAAAAGATAAAATATTGTTGATGGCTTTGACTGATTGAATCTTGAGAAACAAATGACTTAAAAGCGAAAAGCTGAATAAATTCAAGTAGAATGAATGAAGAAATTTAAAAAGATAAAAATTATCATAATTACTTTGAATATTTGACTTCATAGATGCTATAATAAACTGTATTGAAGATTATTTTACTTAAGTTACATATATGGATTTTTTAAAAGAGGTTAATAGTATATGTCAATAAATACATTTCTACAGGATGCATTTTAATTGTGACATACTATTCCATTTTATGGATGCCCCAGTTCTGTATTATTGCAAATTTTTGCTTCTAAGGTAACACAAAGTACCAGAAGTGAAACTGCTGAGAGGAAGGCTACCAGCCAAAGTGTATATGAAACTCGTTTAACTTTGAAATATATGATCTTAACAAAATAACTCATTTCTGACATTCATGCGGTGCTTCTGAGTTTACAAGGCATATTTACATAAATTATTATTTAAACCTGTCACCCTGTGAAGTAGGTGACATTTCCATTTCTATTTGTAAAAAAATTAGTTTAGCTGTTGAATTATTCTTTTTAAAGGCAACATTTTAAAAATGTATTATGCAAATAATTTATTTATTGTAGAACAGTGAGAAAATGGAAATAAGCAAAAAGAACAAGTTTTTGTTATATTTTTCCATTATGTCAGACACTGTTGTGTGTCAGAGCTACAGCAGAAAGCAAACCAGACTCCTGCCCTCATAGTGCTTACAGGATCCCTTTTAACACTTGAAACTTCTCTGAGCTTATTAACCAGTGTTACCCCAGTGCATTTATAGACTTCTTTAACACTCAGGCGTATATCTTCCAATATAATTTTCCTCAGGGAAATGAATTATGTAATATATTTAATTCATATATTTTTCCATGAATAGTATATCAGAAACATCCTTCCAGGTTAATATTTGCTATAACATGATTTTAAGAGTTATACATAGATACACCATGATTTGTTTAATCAATTTCTTCTTCTTGGACATTGTAGAGATCTCCAGTCTTTTGTTCAACATAAACAATGCTGAACTGCAGCTCCTGTGGCTAAGTTGTTGAACACGTCTTTAACTATGTCTTTCAGTAGATTTCCCAAATCATGTGGCGTGTTAAAAGATGTGCAGTTTTCAAAATAAAAACTTAAAATTAAAAAAATATATATGTATATTTAAAATTGATTTTAGAGAGAGGAAGGAAGAGAGAGAGAGAGAGAGAGAGAGAGAGAGAGAGAGAGAGAGAGAGAGAGAGAGAGAGAGAGAGAGAGAGAGAGAGAGAGAGAGAGAGAGAAACATCCATGTGCAAGGGAAGCATTGATCGCTTGCCTCCTTATGCATCCAGACTGGGGATTGAACCCACAACCTGGGTATGTGCCTTGACCAGGAATGAACCGGCCACGTTCTGGTGTGTGGGACTGTGCTCCCACCAACTGAGCTGCACCGACTAAGGCAAGAAGATATGTACGTATTTTTAGTACAGCTAAATTTCTTCTCCTAAGTCTTTAGTTTGTTTCATAGCAACGTAAACTTCGATTGGACAGTGTGTGAAAGTGGTCGTCATCAACACTCCATGTTAGAAAGTCTGTGCCAGGTTTATAGGTAACATTAGATGTGCCCTTTTGAATTAAGTTGTTTTGATTATTTAGGAGGTAGAGTTATTTTCTGTTTGGGGGATTTTTTTATGCTTTTTGATCAATTTATGTTTACCAGTGAGTTTTTTCCATTTTGCTATTAGGCACTCATTTTTGTTGATCAGGCCTT